CAATCTGGTAGGCAAAAATTCACATTATTTTAATTTGTACTTTCTTTATTATTAGTGAGACTGCTTATTTTGTATCTGTATTTCTTCTTTAGTGAATTGCTTGTTCATATTGTAAAATGTTTGCCCCAAACAAAAAGTTTTCTTATGGCTTTCTATTAAATCATAATATTTTAGAATATTATTATTTTGTCATGTATGTTTTTGCTTCGTTTTAAAGTTCAGTTCATGAGGCCCGAGCTCAGCTAGGCTGCTGGCAGAGCCAGGATTAACTTGATGCCAAATTCAGAGGACCCCCAACTCGTAGATTCTTCCTTTTTTTTGCCTTAAGCCATAATAAATCCATGGGGAATTAAAAAAAAAATAAATAAAATAAAAAATAAAATTCAGTTTATGTTAATTATTGACTCGTGAGGGAAGTTACTACATTTTTGTAGTCAAATATATCGGTTTCTTTTGTGGGTTCTTTAAAATTTTATTCTAAAATTGTTTTAAAATAATTTACCGTGATTTAAATTGTACAAATCAAGTGGTTTTCAAGTGTACAATTCAGTGGTTTTTTTGTATATTCACAGTGTTGTGCAACTATCACCACTACTTAATTGCAGGACATTTCATCACCCCAAAAAACAATCCTGTACCCGTTAGCAATTACTTCTCATTCTCTGCCCCCTCACCTTCTGTGTCTATAGATTTGTGTATCCTGGTCATTTCCTATAAATGGAATCATCCAGGATACGGCCTTTTGCGTCCGGCGTCTTTCACTTGGAATAATGGTTTTGAGGTTCCCAAGATTATTGTCAGTCTTTGTTTTTGGTCTCCTTCTGCCTATGTTTGGTTTTGCTACATCCTTTGTCTTTTTTGAGAAGCCACAGGAACTAAAAATTTGGCCATAATACACCCAAAGCCATTGGCTTCAGTTCACTTGCTTGTCAGCTTCGACTGCCTCTTACATCAAAACATTAAGCATAATAGGTGTTAGTTTGTAAAAGGAAAAGCTTTATTATAGTAGAGAAGTAAAGTGTCTTTCTAGTTTGAGTTTTAGAGATTATATGAAGAACAGATTTTAAATGTTTCCAAAAGCTTTTCCTATATCTATTGAAATGATCATATGACTTTCAGTACTTGACATTCCTGTGATATAGGGTAGGAATAACTTTACTATGGTTGGACAATTTTTTCATTCTTGTGGCAAAAAGCAGATTCCATTTGAATGTCCTGTATTGTTGAATTTGTTTTTATCTATTGTTGTTAACTATTTTATGTTTGCCACACAGATATTCCAAAATGAAGAAGTAGTGTTTGAATACAGAGCAAAAAGTACAGACATTTGGGGCCAGACATATCTGAGTTTTAACGTTTAAGTTCCCATACTTATAATTCTGTGACCTTGGGCATTTTTCCTTCTCATCTTCATTATGCATCATTTTTGTAGACTTTTAATCACATGAGTATGGAAAATCTTGTATCTTGTTTTTTTCCTCATTTAACCTTACACCACATGCATTTTCCATGTTACTGCATTATTTCGGAAGTATAATGTATACTTCCGAAGTATGTATAATTCGAAGTAAGTATACTTCGGAAGTATGTATATGTGATTCAGAAATGTGCTCAAGGTAGCATAGTTTAGAGTTCCTTATTGTCGGGCCTTTCATCTGTGTCTGCATTTTCACCGCTAATAATAATGCTATGATGAACTTTATTATGCCTAAAACTTGCTTTATATTAGCTCAAAGCACACAAAAACACTTTTAAAGATGCATATTATCAAAGTGCTTTGCAAAATTATTATGCCAATTAACACTACTGACAATGTGTAAAATTTCCTATTTCATCCCACATTTGCCAGCACTATTTATTAATATAAAAAATAAGTCACTGCTCATCTGATAAACAAAATGGTTTCTCACTGTTGTTTGAATTTGCATACCGTATTTGTGAGGTTGAACATTTTCTCATACACATATGAATTTATTGCACTTCTTTGGTGAGTTGTTTGTGTTCTTGAGTTCCATAAATTTTTTCAATTTATATAATAAAGACATTATAATAAAAACATTATTCCTTGGTCTGTCACAAAAACGTGTCTTTACATTTTGATTATCATTTTTTGAATGACACCCAGAACTTTCTATTTACTTATGCTATCAAATCTGCTCATCATTTCTACTATGATTTTTCTACGACTTATAGGTTTAGAAGGTTTTTTTAAGCCTTCAAATTCTTGAGAAAAATTAATTCTAAAAACCATTTTTATGGTTTTAATATCAATTTTTAACTCCCCAATCCACCTTGAATTTATTTTTATGTGGTGAGAATACAAATTAAGAGATTTTCAAATTTTTACCAATTGTCTAATGCTAGTCATTCAATACTTCTGTCTATTACTTTCTAATATTTTATAATAAAAATCCCACTGATTATTGATGTTTTCTTGATCACTTATGAGTTTTTAAATAGAATATTTGAATTTATATGTATAGACTATCACATTGATGCTTTTGTGATTCTTGATCCAGCATGCACTATTTTAATTACTGAAGCTTTTTACTATGTTTTGATTTTTAGTAAAGATGGTCCTTTTCATTATTTTTCTTTAAAAATATTTTAATTTTCCATTTATTTTCTTAATGAACATTAGAATAAATAATTTGGTCATGCTCCAAAAAAATAAAAAATCCAATATGGCAAGTACAATTGGAATTACATTACACCTATAGTTTTATTTAGGAAAAATTAATATCTTTAAGATATGCTGTTCTCTCATCCAGGAAATGGCATGCTTCTTATTATTTAGCATTTACAAATGTTTATAGATGTAATTTTATAATATTCTTCCTGGAGACCACATACATTTCTTATTTATATAATACATACATACATATATATGTATATGTATATATATATATACACACACACATATATTACTGATATTATGAATAGGATCCTTTCCACTATATTTTCTTTTTTTTTTTAATTTTTATTTATTTATTTTTCCCCCAAAGCCCCAGTAGATAGTTGTATGTCATAGCTGCACATCCTTCTAGTTGCTGTATGTGGGACGCGGCCAGGCCGGAGAAGCAGTGCGTCGATGCGTGCCCGGGATGCGAGCCCCGGCCGCCAGTAACAGAGCGCATGCACTTAACTGCTAAGCCACGGGGCCGGCCCCTCCACTATATTTTCTATTTGTAAATGACATGCAGGAAAGCTCTTTATTTTTGTATATTTATCTTGTAACCATCCAGTTTACTGGACTCAGTGTTTCTAATGGATTTTCATGCCTTTGGGTTTTCATCTTATACGGTTTATCGTCATATCTTCTGCCAAAATGAAAACTGACTCAATTTTCTCATTTTCATACCTTTTATTTATTTTATAAATTTCTGGATTATTGCTTTGGCTAGAACTCACAGAGTAATGTTTAAGATCAATGGGGATAACTTTTTTACTTTGTTTCTGATTTTAAAGGAAAGAATTTAAAGGTTCACTTTAGGACTGGTTATGGTTGGTTTGAAAGACATATGCTTTAATATACTGGACAAACATTTACTTCTTTTTTTTAGAAATTTAAGAATTCACTGTGAATATATCTAGTACCAAAGATTTAAAAAACAACATTTTCCACCACATTTGGTATTATTACTCTATGACGCACATTTCTAGATAGGTAGACCCTCAGAGCATTTTGCAAATCTCACTCATAAATGGAGCTCTACTTCCTTGTACTGTCTGCAGAACACAATTAGTTTGACTTACAGGAATAAAGATCTTTTAATCTATCCAAAGTAACTCAACACAAATTCTACTTAGCAGGTGCACTTTCAGAACTGAGTTTTGCTTTCAACTGCAGTAGCTTTCCTTAGCTTAAATTTTCTGGTACCATTTTTCTTTTTATTATTCATATTTCGAGATTCATTTTATAGTTTTATGATTACAAATGACAAAGATCAACATAGTTTGGAAGTTGATGGGATATAAGTCAACTAAATGAAAGGTGTCCTCATAAGCATGTAAGGTTGGTCTAGAGGGTGAATGTCAGGAGAAAGGAGGCGGAGAAATCAATGGCTGAGGAAAGTGCAGGGCACTGAAGAGAATCACTAGGACAATCAAGATCTTTTTCATTGTCCCTGCATTTCTTCATAGTGTTGCAATGCACCGTGTGCCCAATGTGGGGTAGTTCTCCCAGAGGATGAAGACGAGTCGATTGTGATGTTCCCATTTTAAACAAAATCTAGTGTTGGGCTTTATTTTCCAGAAGTCTGGGGAAATCTTTATCTTGGGAGAAGTATAGTGATGGAGTTAGGTGAAGTACTGGGGGGCCTGAGGGGGCTGCTCAGCTCTGCCTTGGGCAGCCTCAATTCTTTTTTGCAGGTGGAGCCAGGACCACAGTTCTGGGGAACTTTTCCCATCTGTCTTTTTCCCTCCCTTTCCTCGTCCTCCGATTCCTATCTTTCTCCCAAAGCAGTGCATTGTAGGATTATGACCCAGAAGTGGGCTCTCCATTAATCTTCCTGTTCATGCATTTCTTAGTCCAGCTGTGAGAGGGAAGGGGAGCACTTTATTTTGTGAACCATGGTCATTATGCTTTTTCCCCCCATCCACTAAGTTGATGCCTAAGGCTTTCTAAATATCGGGAAAGGAGTTAGCCAGGCTGCCCTCAGCACCAGGGTGGAGGGTGGTAGGGCCAACAGTTAGTCTCTGATTAAATAAAAGGAAACGTTCATTGTTACACATATTGTAAAGAAGACGGAACTAGAGTGAAAGGGTCTTCTTTATTGTAATTTCTCGGTACACTCCATATGATCCTGTATCGCGCCAGGAGCATAGGTGAAAGGCCATTAATCCTCTTCATTATTCCATGGCCACCTCACAAAATGGCACTAGCCAGCAAAATATTATTTAGTAGCAAAATATATTTTAATTGAAAAATCATTTTAAGTAACTGAATAAAAATGGGTACCGAGAACTTTCCCACTAGACAGCAGAGTATGTACATTTTGTGAGAGTGGAGCAGCATCTATTTAATATATTTTTATATAGAAAATACAGGCATTTTCAAAAATGGAAACATGTAAGAAAGTATGTCACAAGGAATAACAAAATAGAACACAAAATAAAAAGGTATACCCAAAATAACAAGTTTACTGAACAAAACAAGACCCAGCACCGTGTTGGAATTCCTTTGTGTAAGTTCCAGGATGCCCAGGACTACCAGGAAGAGATGATCCTGCTTTTAGGAGAGCTGGTTGGTTGTGCAGTGGTTAAAACCCAGTCCTCCTTTTCCTGGAACAAAAAACAAAGAGATTCAACAGAAAAGACTGAACTGAAGAGGTAACTTCTCTTTTGGGGCTGATTAAAACAGGATTGAACGTCTCACACCCCTGGGCATCATCTGTGTCATTGTTTGTACGAATGGGGGTCATTCCTTCAGAGAACTAAGGAGCATGAAGAACAGGTGATAACTTAAGAAAAGATCTGAGAATCGGCAGACCTGAGTTTTAGTCCTGGCTCTGTCACTAGTTTCCTGTCTGATAATCCTATCACCTGTAAAATGAGGAGTTGGGACTTTGTGAACCTGAAGGTCTCTTAACAGCATTAACAGTCTATGGTTTTTATTTACAGCATTTGTTTAAGATCAGTTTTCTGAAGATGCTCATAGAGATGAGATGAAACACAATCTCTTTCTTAAGGATTGAACAATCTGGAAATAACACCAGGTCAGTCTCATTCATCAGTAGAGGAGGCTACAGGTCGAGGGATTTAAAGGATGGCACAGTGTATTTCGCCACCAGTTGTCACTGATGCCTGGAAACTGCTCCATCTGTCAAGAAGTATTTACTGAGCATCAATTTTTGTGCCTGTACTAAGTACAAGGGATACAATCTTTAAGGCACTCAATCTCATGGGAGAGAAGAAAATAGAAAAATTATTTGTAAAGATTTATTGTTTTGATTTCTTAGAAAAGCTTCCCCCTCCCCTCCCATTTCAGGGAATTATACTCCACTTTTCTTACTTCTGGGAATTGCTACCCTCCTCTCCTCTTTACCCAAAGGTAAGGGAAAGGTTTTGACAAAATGACCCTTCATATTGGTACAACATAACCCAACCTAGGACCACAGTTGGCTGATCTATGGCAGGCCCTTGAATCAATCTGGGCTAGCCAGTTCTTCTCCTGGATTTTTAAACTGGGTCATCCAAGGTCCCTCTATTTTGATAGCAAATTCCTTTCTTTGCTTAAGCTAGAGTTGCAATAAGAGAACCCTAATTAATACGAGTCTCCTGGAAAAACTGATCGCAGTATACAGAGGGGGAGCCTGCCCAGTCCTTCGGGTTGAAGTTGACCTTTCCTTGAATGTGAGATGTACCGCTCAGCTTAATTTGCCATAATTTTTTGGATTCTTTTATCAAACTTTTGCATAAAAGAATCTAGATTTTCTTCTCTTGATTAGTAGACAGTATTTTCACATAAGCTGATAACCACCCTTTCCCTGGTCAAGAAAGAGCCCCTACGGGAGTATTTTGATATCAGGGAACCACACAAACTTTGGGTTTCATTTTCTTACCTCTAAGATGAAGGAGTTGAAATATAACGGCTAAAATTATAAGAATGTTATAAATACTTGCTGTGCCTTTTTGAGTCATTGTCATTCCCTTTATCTTTTCTTTCTCTCTCTCTCTCTTTTCTTTTCCTTTCTCTCTTTTTTCCCAGAAATCCCTTCCAGTTTGACTCTCATTTTCTTAAATTCTTTCAACTCTGCTCTCAGGTAAAACTATCATCTTTATCTTGGAAGCTTCTAAATATACTTATATAATCCAAATTTGCTTTTTGGAGTTCAGTTTATTTTCTTTCTCTCTGCAGAGATGGCAAATACTTGAGATGATATGAGGAACTTCATTGGCACAAGACAGATTTTTTTGTTAATGAAGTCTGCATTTAAATAGATTTGTGTCTTTGCAAGTTGGCTTTGACATTCTAATCAAAATGAAATAAAAGGAAATGGAAAAATAAGGGTTGTTTTCAGTTTACTGAATTTCCCACTTTTTAAAATGAATATGGAAATATCCATTTTTTTAATGATTCCTATAAGATGGAAATAAATGTACATAATACATAATGTAATACCATGATGTATACTGAAAGTCTTAAAAGAGAGTTGGTAATATTCCAACATTGCAGTATTTGTGAGGACAATGTTTTAATATTGAAAATATTTTATCCATGGTATGATGCAATATGTCTGACATTTTAAAAAGTTTAAATCTTGAGAAAGAAGAACAAAGCTGGAGGCACCACACTCCCCAATTTCAAACTATATTACAAAGCTATAGTAATCAAAACAGTATGGTATTGCCATAAAAACAAACACATAGATCAATGGAACAGAATAGAGAGCCCAAAAATAAACCCATGCATATGTGGTCAATTAATTTATGACAAAGGAGTCCAGAATATACACTGGGGAAAGGACAGTGTCTTCAATAAATGGTGTTGGGAAAACTGGACAGCCACATACAAAAAAAATGAAACTAGACCACTATCTTACACCATACACAAAAATTAACTCAAAATTAAATCATAAAAATCCTACAAGAAAACAAAGGAGATAAGCTCCTTGACATCTGTCTTGGCGATGATTTTTTCGATTTGACACCAAAAGCAAAGGAAACAAAAGCAAAAAAAAAAAAAGCAAAAGAAACACAAGGGGGCCACATCAAACTAAAAAGCTTCTGCACAGCAAAGGAAACCATCAACAAAATGAAAAGACAAGCTATAGAATGGGAGAAAATATTTGCAAAGAACATGGCTGATAAGGGGTTAATATCCAGAATATATAAATAACTCACACAACTCAACAGGATAAAACCAAACAATCCGATTAAAGAATAGGTAGAGGATCTGAATAGATGTTTTTCCAAATAAGACATATAGATGGCCAACAGACTCAAGAAAAGGTGCTCAACACCACTAATCATCAGAGAAATGCAAACCAAAACCTCAACTAGATATCACCTCACACCTGTTAGAATGGCTGTTTTCAAAAAGACAAGAAATAACAAGTGTTGGTGAGGATGTGGAGAAAAGGGAACTCTGGTGCACAGTTGGTGGGAATGTAAATTGGTGCAGCCACTATGGAATACAGTATGGAGGTTCCTCAAAAAATTAAAAAGAGAACTACCACATAATCCACTTCTGGGTATTTATCTGAAGAAAACGAAGACATTAACTCAAAAAAATATATGCACCCCCATGATAACTGCAGCATTGTTTACAATAGCCAAGATATGGAAACGACCTAAGTGTCCATCCACGAATGAATGGAAAAAGAAAATATGGTATATATATAATGGAATATTATTCAGCCATGAAAAAGAATGAAGTCTTGCCATTTGCAACAACATGGATGGAACTTGAGGGCATTATGCTAAATAAAATAAGCCAGACAGATAAAGACAAATACTGTATGATCTCACTTATATGTGGAATCTTAAAAAAAAAAAAAAAACAGAAAACCCAGAAAACCTATAGATACAGAGAACAGAGTGGTAGTTGCCAGAGGTGGTGAGTGGGGGTGGGTGAAACGGGTGAAAGGAGTCAAAAGGTACAAACTTCCTTTTATAAAATAAATAAGTTGTGGGGATGCAATGCAAAGCATGAGGACTATAGTTAATAATACTGCATTGCATATTTGAAAGTTGGTGAGAGTAAATCTTAAAAAATCTCTTTCCAAGAAAAAAAAATTTGTAACTATGTGTGATGATGGATATTAACTAGACTTATTGTGGTGATCATTTTGCAATACATATATACAAACATTGAATCATTGTGTTGTACTCCTGAAACTAATATAATGTTGTATGTCAATTATACCTCAATGTAAAAAAAGGTTTAAATTATTTTAAAAATTATTTCCCTTTTGACTTCTTTTTGTGTTAATCTTTTCTCAGCTATGATGTTTATCTACTTAGAAATGAGAAACCAATTGACGAACATATTTTTACATAATTTTTCTTGTAGTCAATGAAATAATGAATATATATTCACTAAAAGATGTGAAACAAATTTTTTTACATTAAATATTTCTTATCAATTCAACATTATTTTTATTGTAATCAGGAATGCAAATGAGCATCAATAAAATGCATTGTTTGTTATTTATTTTACATCTTTGCATATAAAGGATGCAATCTTCTGTTCAAGAAGGCAGTTAACTTATTTATTTAATTAACCTTTTTTTCTTTTTTTGGTGGCAAAATATGGAATGCTTCATGAATTTGTGTGTCTTCTTTGCGCAGGGGCCATGCTAATCTTCCCTGTGTTGTTCCAATTTTAGTATATGTGCTGCCAAAGTGAGCAAACGATTACATATTTTTGAGATATCATTGTTTAATCCGTCAATCCTTAACTAATATTTCTTTGTGTTGGCTTTAGTTCAAATTTAGAGAGTATATCTCAAAACGGATATTTTTGGATACAAAATGCTTACACTCAAACTAGCAACACCATCTTGCTCTTGGGACAACTTAACTTGAATTTCAATCTCTTTATGTTACAGATAAACATCAGGTTTTGGTTGACTTACCTGGAACAGTCATGTCCTGTCCAAGTCGAGAGACAATGGCATCGGTTCGGTCTTACGCATTTTCCACCATTTAAGCAGGGAGACTGGCAAACAGCTGGGATGAAAAATTCATGCATTTATTTAATACTTAGCAATTCTGAAGATGTCCATGAAGGCACGTAGAATAAGATTTGATCCTGCTTTCTGCCCCAGCCACCACCATTTCTCACAGACTGTTTGCAGCATGCATTTTTGCCCCTTTGCTTGACCTCAAGTTGCTATGTGGTACTACCTCCCTTTTCCCATCCAAGCTAGCCAATTCCCACACTTCAGTCCCAGATTAAGTTCTACCTACGTATTGAAACCTTTGCTAACAACTTCAAGACCATTGATTTTTCTCCTTTTAATTTGACACATATTGTTTTGAACTGTAAATGTTTTCTTCCTTCCTTCCTTCTTTCCTTCCTTCCTTCCTTCCTTTCCTTCCTTCCTTCCTTCCTCCCTCCCTCCCTCCCTCTCTTTCTTTCTTTCTTTGACTAAGATAAGCCCTGGGCTAACATCCATGCCCATCTTCCTCTACTTTATATGTGGGACGCCTGCCACAGCAAGGCCTGATAAGCGGTGTGTAGGTCTGTGCCCAGAATCCGAACCTGTGAACCCCGGGCCGCCAAAGTGGAGCACGTGACCTTAACCACTAAGCCACCGGGCCGGCCCCTGAACTGTAAATGTTTTATATGCTCAATTAGATTGTAAATCTCTTGAGGGAACTAGCACTGAACTCTATGACCGATTGAGTCATTACATCAGACATCCACTCTTAACGATAATAAGTTAGGCACATAGATCGTCTAAAATCACAGATGATTCAAAAGCCCTTTGTGTTTGCTGGGAAACACATTTCATGGCTGTTACCAGCTTTAACGGGAATTACAGAACCGAAAATAGAGTTAAAAATTAGCCACAGATGAAATCTTGAGTGAACACCCAAAGTTTTACTATACAGACATCTTTCTCCCAAATCCACAGTCTCACAACCAAATGCTTCCTCTACATGAATCTATTTGTTAAAAAACCTAAGGATGCTAAAAAACGCTGAAGACCTAACACCAGCAAGTTTAACATAGCAAAGAGAAAGAAGCAGTCCCTATAGGAAGAAAATAAAATGTCTGTTGAGAGAAAGCTGAAAATGAGAAAATTCAGTCTGTCTCCTTATCTCAGTCTCATTATAGCTTGGAAAGGTTTCGTCTAGGCTTCAGGTAGGTTTCATCCAAGCTTCTCCAGATGAAAAACTCATCTTTGGTGAGATATAAATCAATGTCACTTCTTTAATCACTCATTCATAAAATATGGGGGAAATGCCAGCAAGTACCAGGCACTTGATAAGCACTAGGTGGGAAGAGAAAAGACAAGAAGTAAAACACTGGTCTCTGCCCTTGGGGAGCTCTCTTGGAGAGTTAAGAGTAAGAAAGCCAACAGAATGCACGTATTTGCAATATAATAAAAAGGAAATTATGAAACAAAGCAGGATTAAAATAGCAAAAATAAAACCCAATAATCTAAATCCAACTTGCCATAGATTCTGTTTGCTAATATAAAAAAACATGATTCCTTTTCAGGAGCATGAAGATGTTTTCAGGTGACTGACCATGTTAACAAATTAATCTTTATTTATTTATTTATTTATTTATGTTTTTTTGCCGAGGAAGATTTGCTCTAAGCTAACATCCGCTGCCAATCTTCCTCTTTTTGTATGTGAGCCACCACCACAACATGGCTACTGATAGACGAGTGGTGTAGGTCCGTGCCCGGGAACTGAACTTGGGCCACTGAAGCAGAGCACGCTGAACTTAACCACTAGGCCACCAGGGCTGGCCCAAATTAATCATTATTTTTGCTTCCCTGTCTAAAAGTTTAATATCTTCCTCCTGCCCTATAATATCAGTGCCCCTAAGACTTCCATTCTGGGTCACCTTCTCATGCTATGTGTCTTCTTCACGTCTTTTTTCCTATGAATGTTTTCCACTGATGATTTACATATCTCTATCTTCAATCTAGATGTATCTTCTGGGAACCTAAAGCATCAACCAACTGCCTATCAGACCTCTCCCTTGTAGGTTCCACAGGCCCTTCAAACTCAGCATATCCGCACTTAACTCCTGATCTATACCTTCAAACCTGCTCCTCTCGGGTTCTCTACCTCAGTAAATGCACTACCTTCCACCCAGGGGCCCAAACTGGAAATATTAGTCTTGGCTCCTCTAACCTTTATTCCCACAATAAATCTATAACCAAGTAGCACTGATTCACTTCCCCAACTTCTCTCAAATCATCTTGTTTGGTTACGGTTTCTGCAGACTTCATTATCTCTTGCCATTTCTGTTTCAATAACTTCCTAACTAGTCTCCCTATCGTAAATCCTGCCTTCTGCCATTTTCCACACTGCTGCCAAAATCATTTTCCTAAAAGAAAATCTGATCACGTGATTTCCCTGCTTCAAACTCTTCAATGGCTCCTGTTGCTCACAAGACATAATCCAGCATCTTGAACTTGGCATGTGATGCATTTCCTCGTCTGGCTCTGCCCATCTTTACAGCTTCATTTCCAGCCACTGCCCTATATTTTCTCTATGGCTTCAGCTAGACTTTGCTGAACACGCCTGTGTTACACGGCACGCCTTTGGCGAGAATGATCTCAGAGTGACTCCTCTTACTCTTCTTCTGAGTCTATGCTTGCGAAGCCTTTTCTGAACGTCTACACTGGGTTAGCTACCCATCTTCTCTGTTGTCATAGTCCCTTTTAGAGAATTCAGTTAGCTTCTAGTTGTCTACTCACAGGTCACTCTGCACCCCTTCTCCTTTTCTACATTGAATTCTGGAGGGCAAGAGCTCCTGTTTTATACACTTTTGTATGCTTAGCACTTAGTGGGTCTAAGTTAGATATGTGCTGAGGTAGCTGCTGCAAGATTGAAAAGAAAGGAAGACTATATGGCTCGGTGTCATTAAGGAGCTTATTCTAGTTAGGGAGCTAAGGAGCTAAAAGGAATACAAATAAATCAGACCAATTAAGCTTTAAACTGCATGGTTCTAAAGAATTGTGCGCTGTCTATAGAAATGGAATGTTAGAAAATAGATATTTGTGATATAGACCAAGTTTGGAGATAAGAGGAAACTTACACAGGGCCTTGGAGGTGGGGTGGGGTTTGAATAGGCAGAGGAAAGAGGAAGACCAAGAAAAAGTGTTGAGAGGTAGGAGTGAGAGGGACTGCTTGGTGGGTAATGAGGAAGCCATCGCTGCAGGGAACAGTGTGTGACTGGTAGGATGGGAAGTAAGGTTCATCAGGTATGCTGAAGCCAGTCTATGCAGCACTTTGGAAGTCAAAGAATTTGGGCTAGATGTGGAAACAACAGGTCACCATTTTAGGTCCTTAAACACGGCAAAGACACACCAAAAGTAGTACATAATGACATTTAGCTTGGAAATGGAGATGGGAAGGTCAACTAGTAGATGTTGGCAGTAATCCAAAGAAGAGATCTTTTACTAACTAATTACAGTGGGGATAGAGTAGGATGCAAGAGATACTGTGCAGGAAGGAACAAAAAGAGTGCTGATACTGATAACCTCACATGAAGGAGAGGGAGAGTCAAGGACGTCTCCATCTGCAAGAATGTTGCCACCACCTGCAAAGATAAGATGCCTGGAAAAGGGCAAGGCTGGTTTGCAGGTGAGTTCAATTTTGTATGTATGAGAAATGTGGGTAAATATCAAAGATGATTTGTTATAAAGAAATACTATACACATTGCTGTAAGAGTTTCATATAAAGCTTCAAATTTAGCCTGTGGTACATTTTCCCTTTATACCTTCAGGGATGGCTCACTTTTGGCTTCAGCTAGGGTGAGTGCACATTGGATTTTGCCTGTGACAGCACCTTTCACTCCCGTTTCCCTGGTTTACTTATTAATAGCGCCCCTTTCACTCTCAAAAATGTCCTGGTTTGGAAGCTAAATTACATGGTCACCCCAGCCTTAGAGCTCATGACAAGTTCTGGTGTCAGCAAGCCTGTTCTACTTTATATTTTACGCTACTGGGGAGGTGGTATAAATATTGTTTACAGGAGGGATGGTGGAGTATTGGAGTTAATACTAAATAAATATAGCAAGTTCTATTCTTTTAACAGTTGCCTAAAAATTAGGGCATTAAAAAGGTAAAAATCTGTCTTTTTTAACTGATTGATTTATTAGACATTTACTGAAACCTATCATATGTAGGCACTATGCTAGGTCTTGAGGGTATACATATCACAAAGAAACATCCCTGCCCTCAAGTGGCATACAATCTAATGAGGGTGGGGATAGATTGATAATCAAACAACTAGAAAGATATCAAAGTACAGTGGGATAAATTCTATATTTGATATCTCAAAGGGCTGCTATCAGCAAGGGTTGCTAAGGGGACATGTTTGTTACCAATGAATCAACAATAGTTTCTTACTGTAGTCCAAGATAAGGAACCATCTCTTTGGTGAGTTTTTTCACTTTAACTTAAATCGTATTTATTTAGAGCCTTGTTCTTTCTAAATAGTTACCACGAATTTTGCAATTTAGCTTCACAGAGACTAAAATAAATATTCTTCTGAACCTCTGCATAATGTTTTCTCTACATTGTGCAAAATAGAGCAGATGACATGAAGAATGCTGACAACTGAGTCGACTTCGATGCTCTTCTTTGGCACATGATCCTGAAAGGTGCCTTTGAGGCAGCCATATAGTTCAGTGTTGACCACCAATCAAGGGACCATCCTGAGGAATTCTTGAGAAACTCTGGCACCCTTTTGTTTCACTGCCACCTCTGAATCTGAGCCACACTCATCAATGTCCTCTAGGGTTTCATAGAGACAAGTCACCAAGAAAACAAACCATGAGAGGAGGCCTACCTGTATGACAGCGGGACCCCGTCCAACCAGAGGGGCAGTCACACTGATAAGGGGCCACACAGCGACCACCGTTCAGACAGGGAAGAATGCATATCGCTAGAAAGGAGATTGAAAAGGATTGATCAAAATACATACACACTTGGATATGTTCAAGTGTTCAAAAAACATTTTCCAGGAGGAGTAAAACCTTCTAGTATGACCCACTAGATAATCTTCCTGTAAGTCTTCTGTTAATTAAGGAGTATCACTGGGAAAACATAGTCAGGAAAGGAAGTCTGGACCCTTAGCCTGATGTAATGGCTCTAATGCCTCTTCCGGAGAGGACAGACTGTAATCAATGTTTGCTAAGTGCTTTGCTTTCTCTTCACAAAATAAGCAGAATGGTCTCCATTTATTATTGTTTCAAATTACCATTACAAATTACATAAAATGCTCTAAGAGGGTTTGGCTACCTCAAGGCTCTCTTCTTGTCTTGAATTAAATGTGAGAATGGGAGTCAGATAGGCTATCCTGTAGGCTGGTGTTGGCAACACATTAGTAGTAACGGCACAACTCACACTTTATTTCCTCGGAACTGAGGCCCGATGGTGTCTGGAACAGGCCTCCCCTACTCCCTCCATGGCAATCATTCCTCCTATTAGAAATCACTGAGCTCCTTAAAGAAGCATAGTCTGTTTAAAAGGAGTGAGACTGTCTATTGGCTTGCTACTCAAAGTGAGGTTCTCAAACCGAAAGCATTGTTATCACCTAGGAGTTGAATAGAAATGCAGACTCTCACGATCTACTGCATCAGAATCTGCCTTTAACAACATCTTCCAGATGGTCTGTATGCACATGAAAGCTTGGGATGCCTAAGTCTAACGCAGGAGAGCAGGCACATGCTCAGCAAGTTAAGCCAGGCCTATTGTCAGGGTTCCTGAGTCTTCAGACTCAGCGTTACAGTAGGTCAAATATGGGAGCCCTAAATGGGAAGGAATGATTGGAGAGAAGAGGAAGGAAAAATGCAATTTGTCTTCTTTCTTAATCACTGTGAGAATGCTTGCTTTGGTGAGCTGTCAGCAGCCTAAATTTATTTCCATCTTATATTTTCCTTTCTAGATTAGCTGAAATACAGTCATGTGCCGCATAACAACGTTTCGGTCAATGACGACCTGCATATATGATGGTGGTCCCATAAGATTAGTACCATATAGCCTAGGTGTGTAGTAGCCTATACCATCTAGGTTTATATAAGTACATGCTATGATGTTCACACAACAATGAAATTGCCTAATGACGCATTTCTCAGATCACATCCCTGTTGTTAAGTGATGCATGACTGTAGTTACACTTTAAAAAGTTTTAGAATCTCTTATAAAACATCTAGCCTTAGGAAAAACTGATAGAAACCAATGGCTATCACATTAATGACTCTTTAATGTAATTTGCATACACCATTCCCAATGAAATATGAAATTATTTTATCTTCATATATATTTTTTAAGATATTGAAACAAAGTATAGTTTAGGCATTTAAAAAAACATTTAAAACATTTATTTATTTATTTACATTCTCTTGTAAGTTCAAATTCAAACATATCTTTATGAGAATCAAAATTCTATATTAATTTACCAAGTGCTGTATAGCTATAGGAGTGACAACTTTCCTTATTTTCTTAGTTGGAAAGAACCACCCTTAATGAAAAAGAGTGAATGGCGGGCTGCAAATGTTACCTGCAAAGTACAATGCTATGAGATGCCATGAATTTATACCAACTATAGCAATGAGTGGTGTAGTACATAAATGGATTTGAGATAAGGGAAGATGAAGGCCGGGAAACCTTCTATTACAAGCTCCTTCCTGAGAAGATTTTTGCAAATTCGTGCCGGGAGGCATGTGAAGATGGCTTTGGATGGATCTTCATAACTGCATTTTCAAGGTCACTAATATTCTAAATCTGCAACTAATCGACATATTTAGATCTGCCCTAGGCGCTGCGTCTAGTTTGCTACAGGATCTAAGCAAATGTATTCCTGCCACCAGTAAAGCCAGTTCCCAGAATCTCCTCTGAGTTGGCGGCTTCCAGGTACATTATCAGGACTCAAAAGTAAGATTCAAGGACATAGCCTGTAAGATTGGAGGACAGACTCACGTTCTTCACAGAGGCGCCCCATCCAGCCGTCTGGACAGGAACAAGCATTTGGGCGTTGGCAGATACCTCCATTCTGACATGGGAATCGACAGACAGCTGGAAAAGAAGCAGGATGGGGCATAAATCTAGGGAATTCTGGAAGAGTCAGAAAATAGGACTGCTCATTTACATTTCATAATATTTCCTTGAGTCGAGCTTTAAGGAAGAGAAACAAAACCGAATCTCAAGATTTGGTTGGGGATGAACAAGAGGGGCTGAGGAAGAGCATAAACAAGCTTGGGTAGTTCTAAGAATGCGGCTGTGTAAGTTTTAGTAATTTGGAGATTCAGGGCAGGAGGGTACAAGGTGGTTTATATAAAAGATAGTCTCTTTTGATCTGGACCAAGGGAAATGCCCCTTTCAGAAGATTTGAAAATATCCTTCCAAAGGTGGCCTTTGATGGCCAGTAGCTCTCGGGTGCTGCCACTGACCCTCAGTATCTTAGAACAAACAAATGAAGAAACAAGCAAGCAAGCAAACACACAGCCCTCATTTGACTTCTGACTTTAAGTGAACCCGGGCTATCCCTTGAGGACGCCACCTCCTCAGCAGCCCTCTCGAGAGGAGGCCGCGCATTCCCTTATATCCCGTGTGTGGTGATCTCATTTCTCATTGTTGCTTTCAGACAATTAATCTCCTTTCTCCTGCAATCACTCTTGCCTCTTTTGAAGCTCATGCCACTCATTCATTGATTTCCTCCATTCTCCCTGCTCCACAAGTCATTCAAGACTTTGGCCTTTTCACCTCAAATCCAAATCTGACCATCGTCCACACAGCCATGTGGACAAGCCATCCAACAACTTGATTATTCTTTTAGTGCCTTGGTTATGTCTGTCTTGTTCACTTGCATAGTTACTGACTTTCAGTAAATATTTGTAGAATGAATGAAACAATTATTATGATTTATTAAAAAAATCCTATTTTACTAGAAAAGTGTAAGTAGAAGGACATACTAGGAGGCTTCATTATCTACCTCTTTCTATTTTGTAGAATTTTAAGCACAGAACTATTTTATTCCCCCAAGGTTTTTTTGTGTGTGTGTGTGAGGAAGATCAGCCCTGAGCTAACATCCATGCTAATCCTCCTCTTTTTGCTGAGGAAGACCGGCTCTGAGCTAACATCCATTGCCAATCCTCCTCCTTTTTCTCCCCAAAGCCCCACCAGACAGCTGCATGCCACAGTTGCACATCCTTCTAGTTGCTGTATGTGGGACGCGGCCTCAGCATGGCCGGAGAAGCGGTGCATCGGTGTGCGCCCGGGATCTGAACCCGGGCCGCCAGCAGCGGAGTGCGCGCACTTAACCACTAAGCCACGGGTCCGGCCCATATTCCCCCAAGATTTTATTGAATGCACACATAAAATTCACCCTGGGGTTTGCAAATTCAATCTAGCAAGTGAACAGACAGCTGTACTCATGTGAATATGGAGTTCTTGTCACCAGCCCCCAGCACGGCCAGGGAGACCATGGGGTGGGCTCCTCTTCCCCAAGGCCACTCAGTACCTCTTATCTCATACTCAGTCCACAGGGTGGGCTGCCCTGTCTCCCGTGGGGCTCAGGGGTCTGCCCAGGATGGACGGGTGGAAGTGGAATCTGTGTTGACACACCTGAGTGTCCAGGAGGTGCCCTCATGGCCCAGACATGACACAGCTCCACTTAGAGCCAGAGAACACTCCCAAGATTGGGAGAGAAGACTTGCCCAAGGAGCCGTGATTGACTCAGGAAGGGGCTGGGTGCTGGGCCAGAGTTCTGTGTGCAAGCTTTCAAAACTCAAACCCAGAAAGTTCAGGAAAATGACAGAGACATTAACAGAAAATTTAAAGCCAAGGGAAAATAAAATAGCACTCATAATAGTCGTCGACTTCCATATACACTTCCCCATAGCGTCACTAAGAAATAACCATTCAAACATTTCCTTACCTCTGCAAATAGGAGGTGATGTCCAGGTTCCATTCTCTAGGCAAACACTCCTTAGGGAACCCTCCAACATGTATCCACTGTAACACGAGTAGGTGATCATGTCCCCATACTGATAATGTACGCCTCGAGCAATCGCATTTTCTACATGAGTTGGTGGACCACATGAGATTTCTACACAAAAACAAAACAACAATTTAGCCTATGCTACCAATCCAGCCAGTGGATGGAAGAGAACACTCTCTCCTCCTTAAGACTGAATTAATTTAAAGAGCAAAGATAAATACCTACAGGTAACATTTTCACCTATATAATATCTAAAAGATACTGGAAACTAAAAGCATAATCTAGAAAAATTAGACGTGCAAGATCAAAGGTTTTGTCTTCCGATTCAAATGTTGAAGCTGAGCTATTTTATACTTAGGCAAGAAGTCTGTAGGAGACCAAGATAGAGCTCTTGTACCTTGTCACAGAGGTGGCTGTAAGAGAACTTCAATGCAGGATGCTTATCAAATTAGAAGAGGAGAAGCATGGGGGTTATTTGTAATCTATCATTCTAGAGTAAAGATTAACTGTAGTACTGCATATTCCATCAGGGATGTTTTAGTAGTGCCTACAACAGTGCCTGGCATGCAATGGGTTCTTGATACATCTTTGAAAAATGAGTAAATGAATGAATGTTGTCTCTAGCCTATAGATACTTAATTTACCCACCTTGATGAGGTTTGTGAAATTCAGGGTTTCACATTAGTTTCCCTCTTTTCAAGTCCATAAAGCAGTGACTCTCTGCCTTTGGAATGTGTGAGAGTGAATGATAATCCTGTTTTAATAGCAACAGGTGGGGCTAGCCTGGTGGTGTAGCGGTTAAGTTCGCACATTCCGCTGTGGCAGCTTGTGGTTGTCAGGCCCGGATCCCGGACATGGACCTACGCACTGCTCATCAAGCCATGCTGTGGTGGCGTCCCACACACAAAATAGGGGAAGACTGGCACAGATGTTAGCTCAGTGACCATCTTCCTCAAGCAAAAAGAGGAAGATTGGCAACAGATGTTAGTCCAGGGCCAATCTTCCTCACAAAAGAAAAAAAAAAGTGACATGTACCGTATATTTTAATAAAAATTTTGATAACTAATTTTGCTTTCAGAATTTTACAAGAAGGCTTGAGATAACTAGAGTTATTCTGGGGCTCACAAGACAAGGACTGGATTGGAGTCAGGACTCTCAGCAGTATCTAGTTTGTATAAGTCTAACTTTTGGATGAATCTTCATGAACCAGCTTCTAAGAGGTCACTTAGCGGTCATAATACTATTTAAAATTTGTCATAGGGGATGATCAATTTGTATCATCTTTTTAAATTTTCTTTTCTTCTAAGGCAGATAAAAATATTAATTCAATCAGTTGGATATCAAATATGTATTGATGCTACTGTGTATCAGAAACTGGAAAGAAATAAATGAAGAAAATGCTGTTCCTTTGCTCAGATAAAAGGGGAAAGACAGACAAAGAATATTGCAATACAACTTAAAACGAGCTGTATTAGAGCCCTGGATATTATACTGCAGAAAAATTGAGTAACTTGAATTAGTTAAATTGAATGCAAATTACTAATGTAATGTAAATTACAATTACTAAATTGATTGTAAGTAATTGTGCTTAGGATTGTCAGGGTATGAATTGCAGTGAAAGTGGCATTGAGACTAGGCTATAAGGCTTGAATGGATCAGAGGGAAAGAGCTTCCAGGTTGGAGAGCTGATGGTTGGTTTATGGAAGTGGTTATCAAAGCACGGATTTCAGACCACGGATGTGGGAATCACCTTACAAAAATGCACATTTCTGGGGTTTCTAGTTTATGAGCCTACATCTTACTCTCCCGAGGTGATTCTTATGCACATTAAATTTTAATCACTGATTTGTAAGGATACATATCCGGATGAAGTGAAAAGAATGAGGGAAGGGCTGCTCAGGCTCCTCGGGAAAGATATTTGGTTCTAAACCATACACTTCCTGTCTAACAGAAAATACAAAAGAGGGATTAAGGATAACAAACAATAGTCGGAACTCCTTCCCTGCAAGGCCACTGCTGATCCTCTTAAGAATATCCATACAGCAACTAGAAGGATGTGCAACTCTGATGTACAACTATCTACCGGGGCTTTGGGGAAAAAAGATAGGAGGAGGATTGGCAGTAGATGTTAGCTCAGAGCCGGTCCTCCTCAGCAAAAAGAGGAGGATTAGCATGGATGTTAGCTCAGGGCTGATCTTTCTCACACACAAAAAAAAGAATATCGAGGAGCGATTAAGCACACACTGAAGGAACATGTCTAGTAAGTGCACGTCTGTATGTCTCTGCTCTTTCTTCAGCGCCCTGAGTGGTGAGTCTCAAGGGGCCAAGGCCAATGTGAGGAATGTGGGCAGAATCAGGCCCCTTGGGCTGCTTTAGTTCAGGCTGGTGCTTTAAACCAGACTAGAAGGTCAAAGCTTATACATTCTTAGTTCTTCCCACTTCACTAGGGGCAGATTTCATAAGGATCAGGGGCCCAGATCCCAGCTGAAAGTATAGTACACACTTTCCTGGAGTAAAATGAAAATTCTCACACTGCAGTAGGCTGCTAGTTGAGAATTCGGGGACTTTATGTATCTCTTCTTATAAGGACATATTGCTAATATACACCAATTCATTTATTCTTCAAAACAACACTATAAGATAGGTATTACTGGTGCTATTAATACACGAGAGCTCTAAGGTTCAGAGAAATTAGGGTACTACCATATGTTTAGAGTTAGAAAGTTTTGAGGATAGAATTCAAACCCAGGTCTTCTCTGATTCCAGAATCCCCATGGTCTTCATATGCACACTACTTTTCTCATTAATTGGAGTGCAAGTGTTCTGAACATGGAGGCCACTGAATAACAGATTCTTATACTATGTTGCTCTGTGCCTTGCATCTGGTTACACTCAATGAATATTTTTTAGTTGTCTGCTGTAGAAGGAGTATCTCAGACTACAAGGAAGCCTGGAGGGCAGGATATTGGGCAAGGGAGATGTTTTAAGGGCAGGAAGCGTGTGTTAAGAGATGTCAAGGGTTATCACAAGGCAGCAAGAGATGCCGCCACATTGCATGTTGTATATCAACATGGTGCTAGCCCAGAGCTTCTCAAATTGTGGTTCCAGGACCAGCAGTATTGCCATCAGCAACACCTGAGAACTCACTAGAAATGTAAATTCTCAGGCCTCACCCCAGACATACTGAATTAGAAACTATGGGGTGGGGCCCAGCAATCTGTCTTTTTTTTTTTTCCTCTTTTTGCTTGAGGAAGATTGTCCCTGAGCTAACATCTGTGCCAATCTTCTGTTTTTTGTATGTGGGATGCTACCACAGGATGGCTTGAGCGGTGTGTAGGTCCATGCCCAGGATCCGAACCCGCGAATCCCGGGCCACCAAAGCAGAGCACACGAACTTAACCACTATGCCACCTAGCCGGCTCCTAGCAATCTGTTTTTAACAAGCCCTCTAGGTGGTTCTGATGCAGGCTCAAATTTGAGAACCACTGTGGAGTAATTTTTGTATTGCAAGGCATCCATAGCCTATTAAAGGATAGTTTGGGGACTCTGACAATGTGGAGAAAAATACATATTTTAGATTTACTATCTTGCTCATTCTTAGAAGAGCACATTTTGAAAATCTGTTCAGTGAATCTTGGTCAGGTAGGTTTTAGCCTAGTTCTGGAAAGCTTTTTTATTTTATGTTTGGAATTCAAAGATCTCCTTTTGAATTTTTAAAATTATCAACACAGAAGCTGATAAGCATAAGGCAGAGACCTAAATATCTACAATTAAGTTACTCGATTGAAAATAATCTCACAAAGATGAGAAACATTCTGCACTGAGGACATGAACCGGATTCCACTGGTCGACTTACTTTCACATCTGGCACTTGTCTGAGTCCACGTCTCATCGGGGTTGCAGGTAATGACCCCTTGGCCCTGGAGCAGGAAGCCTTCCCTACACTTGATAGACACATTCTGATCAACATAAAACTCCTTTTCAGAAAGCAGAGCGTTCTCGGGGATCACAAAAGGGACAGGGCATGGATTTGCTGTTAAAAAGAAAAGAAAATGCTTACTGATATTTTCTCTCTTTTCTTAATTTCTTTCTTTGAAGGCAGACTATGAGCCCTATAGGAGTTGGGTTCTCAGGGACAATAAGATGGGACTTAAAAATATAGAACTTCAAACATTAAACACAGACTTGTTTTGCATCACATGAAATTATTTGTAAGGACAAAATCAGATAAGATCTGAAAACACCAAGTTATTCAACCACGAACGCATGGTCCTAAACATCCTAGATGGTAAACTAAATAGTTGTCTCAAATTATGGCCCACAACATTATTTTAGATCGTTTTTTGATCAGCATTGGGGAAACAAAAGGCATGCTAGAAATCAAAGTGTATCAAACATTCCCTTAATAGTTGAAGAATATTAAGAACACAGAGTAAATGCCTCTGTTACTTCACTTTCTCTTACTGAACATCCTTCAGAAGAATGAACCAGAGCATCATCAGACATTTCTAAGTGAGTTGAATATGACTACTATAAACAGGATGTTAGAACTTAAACTGTAGAGTTTGCAAGGCTTATTGATAAAAATGGATTCATTTTGATAGGTCTGAAGGAAAAACAAGAAATGATGAGAGTGTAAGGATTTCTTACTCCAAGTGTGTGACACACATATCAACACATATTTCTAGCAATTTCAATTTTTCTGAGTTTCAAAGGGCACAAATCAGTCTTTGTAAGTGAAGGAGGTGTCCGTTGAATTCTACAGGCTCAGTTACTGTATTACAATATGTACTTTAAACAGTAACCAGAGCTTTCTCAATTTATACCTTGCCAGCAAATACTGTTTTCATTCCAGTGGTTATAACTAATTATCTTTACTTACTATATTTATATATACTTTATTAATATTACACATTAAACATGTTTTCTTTCTTCACCTCTTTCACATCCCCAATCAAATCCAGTATACATTTATGCCAAATTTTTTTCAGTTAAGTTGCATTTTCTCTTAGCGCCTTGGACTTGTAATCATCCAAGGAATCTGACAAAAGCTGATCCTCAGACAGGATATTTTAGATAATACCAGCAGATTTTTAAAATACCCCATAGTATTTGGTTTGGATATGCATAGACTGCTTCCTCTGGGCTGGTTTCATTTATCAGTGGAGTTTCCTCTATGTTTCAGACATTTGCGAAACGAATCATGAGACTCAATCTGCTTAAAACCTCTCCTAAAGTCAACACACACGTTTGCAGAGAGGAACTGGGTGGCTCCAAGTTCCATTTTCAGTGCAGTAGGCCTCAGGTGCCCCATCAAGGCTATAGCCTCTGTTGCAGGAATACGCCACGCTGGGTCCAGAGGTGGTGTTTTCAACTTCAGCTTTCCCGTTCAGAAACCCAAGCGGAGCTTCACACCTGGCCTCTAAAAGAAAAAACAAAGCCTCATATGAAATGCTTCTCCCCATCTTCTTTCCTTCTTCTGCTACAACCCCCAAAGGTACTCAAGGCATCATATGAAATATTACAGCCTACTCATGTATGAGGCACAATGATACTCACTGAAGGAGAAAAAAACCCAGCACGCCAAGTTTTGGGTTGAGATATGCAGACAATTAAACATTAGTATTTTACCTTATTGACTCTAGCTGTCTTCATGCATATTGCCACCTTTTGTTGTTAATAATGTAGGGGGGGTATGGATGAGCAGGTGGGTAAAATAAAGGAATTTCTCATTTGTTAAGTTGCTACCATGGCCAAGAACTTTCCAGACATTATCAATTTATTTCTTACAACTAGAGTTTGTTACCAGCTAATTGCCCCAAGGTACTCAAGGGTGGGTTTGGAAGCATTTAACTGTTTAAGAGATGCAATCACCAACCACCCTGAACCAGACCAAGCCTCACCACAAGAGTGACGCCATGACCTTTGCCTCATTTTTAATGCTAAGATCTCCTCTCCTAGAGGAGCTTAGGCCTTATGACCATAACCTGCAGTGTATGTGGAAGCATGTTTTCCAACTGAGCCTGCGCAAGCGAATGCCCACGTCTCCCTTTTGAATATTCATTCCCCATCCGAATTAAAAGGTCCCTGCTTCCATTTGTTCCAGGACCCCAAGACTTTGGAAATGATTCCACGTGGCCTCCTGTTTGCTGCAAATATACCCTACTTTGTGTGACAACCACTTCTGGTGGAGAGCCTGATTTAACTCGCCAGGAGGCGAACCCACTTTGGTTTTGGTAACTAGTCGACCAGATAAAATACAGGATGTCCAGTTAAATTTGAATCACAGATAAACAACAAACAAATTTTTAGAATAAGTATGGCTCAAATATTGCATGGGACATATTTATATTAAAAATTCTATTTAATCTGAAATTTAAATTTAACAGGGTGTCCTTTTTTTCTGTTTTTTTTTTTTGGCTAAATCTAGCAACCTTACAACAACTCTGAGATTATCTCATTTAACAATTGAAGAAAAGTGAGGCTAAGAGAGGTTAAATAATTCGGTCAAGGTCATACTGCCTGTAAGGAGAGAGGAAAGATAAAATTATTGGAAGGTAAAATATAATAGGAAAATATAAAGAACAGGAAACCACAAGCTTGGGGGAAAATTCAAATAAGGAACATTTTATATGGTCTAGGGATATACAGACTCCATAAACTGATGGGTAGTTTCAGTGTAATTATAAAGAATGATTTTGCACCAGTGAGAAAGGTTATTAATAGGAAGGTGCTGGGAGGAAAGCAGGATCATCCTTTCTAAAATCTTAAAAAGTGAGTGTGAGTCTTAGTTTTATGATCGTGTGAAGGCAGACCTTAGAAGGTGGTCTAGACCAGCCATCCTCAACTTTGGCTGCACATTAGAGCCCCTTGGAAGCCTAGGGCCCTATCTCAGAAGAAATGAATCAGAATCTCTGTGTTGTGGCCTAGCTTTAGGTATTTTCTTAAAAGCTTCCCAAATGATTCTAATGCTCACTCAGAATTGACAGCCACTGGATTAGATGCTAACTGACTTTGCGCTTCTCTCAGCCTGATGAGTATCATATGTACTGGCACCCTGTATCTTAACCTTGGCTGTACCTTGGAATTACCTGAGAGTTTTAAAAATAAATTGATGTGGGGCCCCACCTGTGGAGATTCTGACTTATCTGATATACGGTGTAAATTGGACAAGGTGTTTTTCAAAGCTCCCAAGGTTATTCCAATGTGCGGAAGGCTAAAAACCATAGGGCTAAGGTAGTGCTTCTCAAACTATAATGTGCATAGGAACCATCTAGGGATCTTCTTAAAAGGTAAATTTTGATTCAGTAGGATTGCGGTGTGGCCTGAGATTCTGCATTTCTAACAAGATTCCAGGTACTATTGATACTACAATTCTGCGGGCCACTTTGAGAAGCACTGGTCTAGGGAATCCTGCTGACTTGAACAGACTTCCCTGAAATCTGTTGGCTACAGATATCAATATATTTAATAATTTAGTAAATTATATAAGGATCTTACCCTTATATAATTATAATTATAAAAATAATACAAATCTGTTCAGTATGAGCACTTTTTTCCCCCAGAAATATCTGTATTTTTTTATGCCTAGGAAAAAAGCACACAGCAAAATATATCAAAATATCAATAGTTTTTGTCCTTGAGTGGTAGGATTAAAACTATTATTATCTTTTTTTGCTTATTTGCGTTTTCTAATTTTCTGCGAAGAACTTGTATCATTTATTTAATAATTTAGAAAGAAAAAGCAAAGAAAACCACAAAGAATAATAGAATTCATATAGAGCTTTTTATTACTGTCTTGCATTTAGAGATAGAAACTATACAAACCATTGTCATTGTAGTTTGAATTAAATCTGCTGCAAAACTGAAACAATCCCAGGCATGCTTCCTCTTCAGGCCCCACTCCCCTCCCCTGCACATACATTCACACATTTTTTTGTTCATGAACAGTTGAGATAAAAAATGCTATTATCAGGAATGCTCAATGATGCCTTTCTGTGACTTCAGACATTACTTAATTTTTAAAAAAATTTTCTATACAATATTTATACAAGTTTTTGAGAACTAAAAACAGTCACATTCTCCACTGAGTTTCAGCCATATAATATTCTTTAAAAGAATTGAGATTCCTGTGCACACAAAATCTGCTCATTAATCTACTCCAGAAGACATGGCTGAAACAACAGTGAACAAAGATTCTAGGACGTCGAGTCTCAGGGCCAGCTTTGCCACAAATTTAATTTATCATATTGGGCAGTCGCTTCACCTTTCCTAGCCCGTATTTACTCATTTGTCAGTTGAAGGGGCTGGACCAGATCATCTAAGAGACCCTTTCCAGTTTAAATATTTGATGACTCCCCCAGGATTATTAAGAGGAAAAAAAAATTTAAAAGCTTGCCACTTTGGGTTATAACTATTGTAACTAAATACATTTTCTTTTGGCAGAGGAATCATATGGGCCATATATTGGGAATAAAGTCATGTGAATTAATCTACATCTTGCTAAATCAACTTGGCTGTTCTCACAAAATGAGTTAACGCAAAATTCCACAAAAAAATGTGAATATTCATTTATTTGATTGCCAACATCACTTTAAGAAGATGTCAGTATTGGCCAGTACTGTCACCAAAAAGCAACAGCTCTAAGCCTTCTAGTTTATAATTATTTGGGGGGAAAAAAACACAAAAAGAAAGCAAATAAACTTAATAATTAACTGGTTTCTAAACAAAATGCTTGTCATTCCAGAATCAGTAATCTTGTGCTTTATTCCAATTTAATCATTAATCTCTACTACACTTGTTGACCCTTGTATTGGTTTGGTACCCTTGAGCAAAAGCCCATTAACCGTTCTCGTAAACGTTATGGAGTGAATTTTTTTTTAAATTACGAAACCAATTTATAAAGAAAATGTGGTACATTGTTATTTTGTGTCTTTGGTATCATTTTCGGGACAGCTAGGTATCATTTGACTTACTTTTGCACGTTGCTACGCCTCCACTCCACTGCCCGTTCTCTTGACAGGTGCGTTCTCCGTTCCCCTGTGAATCAGTGAAGAGAGGTCATTGACAAGATCACAACTATAATGAAAAGATAATAAGGGAACGCAAGGTAATCTTAGCTATGAACTTGAATCTCTCACCACTGGAATGCTAAATAAACTCACTAAATAAACGTAGTTCAAGGGGTAGGTTTAGGCTTTTAAAAATGTTTTCATAAAATTTTTCAAAATTCATACCCTGGCTGAGTAGTGTAATTAAGGTACAGACTTTGTTTCACTTTCTATTTAAATGACAACTAATTATAATCAAGAACAAAGACTGATGAAGAATGTGTTTGAAATGTCAAAGAGGTATATTTGCTTGGTGTATTTTGAACTGAATTTATTTTTCAATACCTGAGAGGTACAGCAAAGGATGTGAATTGGTTTTTCTACACTCTCGAACAAGAAATGTGACAAGATAGCTCACTGGTAAGAGAATTGAATGTTCTCACAATGTAACTTATCCATTAAAAATAAACATACTCTATTAAGAGCCAGAGCATATAAAATTTTAAATATTTTGGGTAAAAATCTTTCTAAAATTTACTTTCTTGCCTTCTGAAATGAGTCAAATGAATATAAATTACTTGAAAAATTATTTACAATTATTATTCTGAATATACTTTTTGTATATTTTTCAATATCCCACAGCCCTTGGTGGCTATATAGGCTGTTTGCTCCCTACAGTTATTATAGGCTGACATAGGCTAAGATTACTGTTATTTGATTTCTAGATATAATTTTTACGTGTCCTTGTTCCTCCTTTTTTGTTGTTCATCTTTTACTGTAATCATCAATGTTCTTAAGGATACCCCTCTTCCATGCTTTAAATTCCTAGTCTACTATGGAATATAAATAATAAAATTTCACATGTTAAAAAAAGATTAGGTTCTAAGTAACGTATTAAGGGGCTTGACTCTAAGTTAAATATATGAACTTCAGCACATGGATTTTGTCCCACGTTTTTTCATTGTTCAGAGCCCTTTGGTTATCTTATTATCTTGAAGCTGTGTTCTAAATTAGCAAGATGTCTGAAAAGGAGCTAGCATCTCTACTTTGGTTTTTTATCTGATTTACTCATGTCATCCTTATTCTTCTATTCAAAGGTATTTTCTTTAAACTATCAGATTAATGACTGATAAATCTTTACCTGTAAAAATTCCATTTGACGACAGGATACTGTCCTGACTTTCCAAAAAAATAATTCATTCTATAAAATTAAATGTTTCTTAAAAATACGTATTCATTATTTTCTTCTTATCGAAAAAGCAATATGTGTTCGTTGGAAAATATAAAAGAAAAATAGTAAGTTTTCCAGGATTCTTCATCCAGAGATAAACACTGTGAATATTTGCTATACTTTTTCTATGCTTATATACGTATGCATGCACGGGAAAATATACTAGTTTGTGGATTATTTTTTATTAATTTTGAGGAAGTATATGGCAAGCCATAAAAGCCAGCTCCCTAACTATTTGGGTTCTTCCAGAGTGGACGATAGTCATGTAGTTAATTTTAGTCAATAGTTTAGTATTTTTCCTGGTACTACTCTTTCCTCTCATGATTTGAATCATAAATATTCTGTTTTGACTATGTCAATTTTTATTCCAATAAAAACTCAAGTAAATCTATTCTCTATATCTACTGACATAAAAAAATCAAATACCATCTGTTGGTTCTCTCCTTAGTAAGTTGCAAACTTCATCATGCTTTTCCATCTTTCTTTTCTCTCACTGGCCCTTTACACATCTTGTCTTTGACGAATTAAACTGAGTTTTAGATCCATATTAGCTTTAGGTCACTATGTTTGACACAATGTATCTGCTTAGTCCACAATTTGGTTAGATAGTTACATTAAGTTTTAGAATCATAGCAACCACTTTATTGCTCATCAGCAGTGATTTTATAACATGACTATCCCATTTTTGAGTTCTTTATTTTGACTTATTCCT